TCTCCAGACAATGAAATAAAGCAGCTATCTCTCACATCCTGCGGCGCTCCGGCTGAGGTCATAAGTTAAACAGGACATCAGAATAGGTGATGTAATTTGCTTATTTAGGATCAGAGCATTCAGTGAAGTGGAAGAGACAACCTGTTTGAATTTGCAGATAATCCCGTAATAAATGCAGAGCTGTTCAGCTGCAGAAACTGCAGCTGGAGTCTGGCATGGTTCTTTGCTCCCTGCACATTTATTTTTGCAGGGGACATAACTGCAATCATTCTTCCTTGCAGGAAAGCCTTGAAACCTCACCTGGGACCAGCCCCCCATTGCATTAGGTATTGTTCAAACAGGGTCCCTGCCCCTGACAGCTGAAAGGTTAAAGGGTCAAGTCAAACAGAGGGTGGGAAAGGAAGGAGAGGCCAAAGGGAGGCAAGAAGGTGGCACGGCCCCACCGCGGGATCCAGGTCTCCCATTCTGATGCCTCCCTGCTGCAAGAGCAAAGCTTTGGGCTCAAAACCGAGCTGAGCATCAGTTACGCTTTCAAGTAAAGCACAAGCCAGCTTTTTGGAGGGCAGGCAGGCTCCAAAGCTCTCTGCAGAGCCCCAGACCAGCAAGGATTTTACAGCAGAGTTCTCAACCTTTAATGACAAGGTTCGTCTATAAGAGGGGCAATTTCTCAGCCATCCTGTACAACACTGAACACACAGTTTTCCCTTCAACCCGTCGGGACTAACACTTGTGATACACAGATTTAAGCTAACAACTTGTACTGTTTATCTCCTCAGTTTATCAGCATTCAAAGCCTAACTTCACCCTGCCTGTGCCGCTCAGAGCAGCATTTCTCACAGCCAAGCCCTGCCAGCCCCTTGCCTGAACTTATCTTCAGTGTTTTCCCAGTGACAAGCAGTCGGCTGGGCCAGACAGCAGACCCCAGCCAAGGGAAGGAAAACGTCCTGGGTACCTTGGGCTGCCCGAGAAAAACCAGTCTAGAGAGGCATTGCTCACACTGACAGGTCAGTGGTGCTGTCACATGGGCTTCAGATGGACCGTGCTTGTATGGAAAAGCCAGATGGAAAAAGCCAAGCCAGTCACTCAGGTAATACCTGCCAAAACAGAATCAGCATAGAATCCCAGACTGGTTTGGGCTGAAGGGATCTCAAAGCTCCTCCAGCTCCAACCCCTGCCACGGGCAGGGACCCCTTCCACTGGAGCAGCTTGCTCCAAGCCCCTGTGTCCAACCTGGCCTTGAGCACTGCCAGGGATGGGGCAGCCACAGCTTCTCTGGGCACCCTGTGCCAGCGCCTCAGCACCCTCACAGGGAAGAGCTTCTGCCTAAGAGCTCAGCTCAGTCTCCCCTCGGGCAGGTTCAAGCCATTCCCCTTGGCCTGGCCCTACAGGCCCTTGTCCCAAGCCCCTCTCCAGCTTTCCTGCAGCCCCTTTAGGCACTGGATCTGCTCTCAGGTCTTCCCTTCAGGAGCCTTCTCTTCTCCAGGCTGCCCCAGCCCAGCTCTCTCAGCCTGGCTCCAGAGCAGAGCTGCTCCAGCCCTCGCAGCATCTCCACGGCCTTCCTATTTTCAAGTTTCCTTACAACACTGGACTGGAGCTCCTGTCTTCCTCCTGCACTACCCAGGCCATACCCAGGTATCAAACATGCCCCATTCTCAGGCACCACATCTGAGCAAGGGTGGCAGCAGTACCAAGAGTGCTGGGAGAGAAGCTCCTGCTCAGATGGACAGACCTGTGAGAGGAGCCTAAGTTTCAAACCCCCTACAAAATAACCCCGATACCAGATGTCTGTGTCCATAACTATCACCATACCACACAGTAGGTCACCTTTAGCAGGTTGGGGTTTTTTCTTTCTTAAATGCAAGTTCTGTGTCAGAACTTCCTCCAAGTTTCCAACAGCTCTGAAGATCACTGATCTTTCACTCCAGCCACTTTGCTGGCTGCCCTAGGGCTGCCTACAACAGCTCCTGACAACTCGACAAAGCTCTTCCTAGCTAGTGTAAAGGACCAAAGTGCTGAATGTATCATGTAAGGACACCCTCCAGCATGTATTTCACATCATCCCTTTCTGAAGGAGCTACTTTTGGATATCGGAAAAGAAGAAAGAAAAGCTGTATACTAGACATTCAAATGCACACAGAGGAGACAGACAAAAGATATTTGCATTTCAAATAGAGGCAATGGGTTCATTTCAAATATTTTAAGGCTATGAAATGTAGCACTTCTTGGTGGGGGGTCTTTTGCATGTCACCAAAAGACAGAATTCACCTTATTTTCACTCAGCCCCTCTAACATGTTCCTCACTGAAGGCAACACCAGGCCTGGCTAAAGCTGCTGTGCACTGGTAACTTCTCCATGACCACCAGTCTTAAATGCAGCACTTGAGAGACACATGCAAAGAGAAGATCACAGCCAGCAGCAGCCTCCACTGCTGGGGCCTTTAACCAAGCAACCACGTCAAAGCCTATTGCTGAGAGCAGAAATGCTGAGAAGCCCTGGGTGAAGCTCTCCGTGCACTTGATGCTCTAAGTCAGACAGAAATAACTGGTACTTGCCATTGTTTTAACAGACAAAGGCAGTATTTTGGCAGGGTTACAAAGCAAGGCCATTCTTTATATCAGCAATCGAGAGACTGTTCATCCCTGCTGAGGAACCTGACTGAGGAAACATTTAACAGCAATCTTGGGTACAACATTGTATTGGGACCTATTTTTACCGTGTGCTCTGCACTACACGCATTAATTGTTACAGCAACAATATTTGCTGACATATTCACTCAAATCATTTACAGAGTAGAAGCCCAAGAGACAAAACAAGCCCTTGCTCCACGAGACAGAGAGAGTCAGGCAGGATGCCACATTGCTTCCTGTGACACACAGAAAACCCTTATCTACAAGGGATGATCGCCCCGATAACCCAGCCCAGTGCCTGGCGAGCACCGCGGGGCTGCCCCTGGCTGCCAGGCCCCAGGGTCAGACACTGGCCGAGCTCCACAGGGGTGAGGAAGGAGGGAATGGCCCAGGTTACGGATCACTATCACCTGGCCTCCTTCTGCCGAGTGTGTGTCCTCAGCATCAGAAGGCATGGAGCTGCTGGAGCAAGTCCAGAGGAGGCCATGAGGATGATGCGGGGCTGGAGCAGCTCCCAGTCAGGTTTGCAGAGTGTTTCAGGGAGAACTTACAAAAGAAGTGCTGAGGTCTCTGATGGCCACAGTGGCCCCAGAGCACCCTCTTGAAAGCAGAAATTGGCCAGTTTTGATGAGGGCAGTCAATCCTCTGCAGTTTTGCACTGGGAATCTTCTCACCCTGCTGCCCACTGCTCCCTAAACAGGCACACCGGGAGCTGCAGCACCGGGCACCACACACAGCTCTGAGGGCTTGGACTGTCCTTGAGAGCAACAGCAATGTGAAACTCATACAGTCCATAGGGGACATCTGGACAAAACCAGCTCAAAATGCCAGAGATCAAATGTAGGTAAATACAGGATTCAGAACCCAGAGCTGTTTGACAAATAATAGTATCTTCCCATGGCTAATGGTATAAAACATGCAGCTGTTCCACCACCACAATTTACAGGGAAGGCATTTCTCCTGGAAGTAAGGGAACACTTCGTGTATATTCCTAGCCAGACTGATTACCCCTATTTATATTGTAAAATAAGACAGCATGGACTAAAAAGCCATACAGTTAAACAGTTCCAGACTCCAGATCATGGGCAAGAGGTCACTTTTCTATCATGTGTTGCAGTCATCTGCATTTCTTACAGGTATCATGGAGTTTGCAGCATGTTTTTCTGTGTGTGCTGATTCTTGTGGTTCTTCAGCACCCACCAGGAAGGACACTGCTATTTTATAGGATCTCAGGGAACTGGAGAATCCACAAGGTTTTTTAAAGGTTTCTTTAAAACAGCAAAGAAGCCAGCGTGCCACTTTCTAACAAGTGCAATCTGTTCTTAGCACAATAAAGCTACAAGACTGAACAGAGTATCTTATCTCTGAATATATACACTTATCCTGAAGTAAGACCAACCCATTATACACCGATCCAATCTGCATGGTGCTACACCATCCTCCTCTTACAGACAACCCACACAGCTGGACAACTCTCATATTCTCTATAAATTACAGATGGAGTTTCAAGGACTGACACCAGATATGAGCAGAGGTCTAGAAAATGCTCTGTGGAGTGTCTGCTCCGGAGTCGTTGCTATTCCTACACCTCTTGTGCAGTTCCACCAGGCCAGGAGACCCCGTGAGCTCGACCACAAGGCACTGAGCCAGGCTTCACTCAAGTGCTCAGCTTGCTTGTTTATTCCTAAGAGAAAGCTCCTTTTCCAGCCAGATTTGCAGTTTCTTCTTCTTTCTCTCTTTAAACACCGATGAGAGATGTTGAAGCTGCAAGTCAGTCTCTATTACAGTTCTGGAAGGGGTAGGTTTCAGTGTGTTACTGTAACAAATACAGGAGTGAAACTGGAAGAGATGGAGATTTGAGCTAACACTATTAAAACTTCTCCTTAACAACAATGCAGAGATACCCAGTGCCAAACACGATCTGGAGCCATCGACCAGCATGAACATGAATGAACCTAGCAGCTTCTGCAAAAAAATTACAGTCCTAAAACCAAATCCTCCTATTAAAGTAATTAAGTGTTATCAGAATCACAGGGCCATAATTAAACATGCTTTATAATTAAAACAGCATGTGTCCTAGACAGGGAACACAGCAACAAAGAGACTATAACCACGATACTCTGCCAAAACACATGCCAAGTACCAAAAATCAGAAAGCAGCGGAGCTCGTAGCAGAGTGCTTCTGTTCTCCTGACATAGCCATCCCTGCTCCCGAGGGGCACAAGAACACCCACAACTCCCCACAGCAATGCAAGATGTTGCCAAAGTTCAGGGGGAAATCTTGGGAACCAAGTAGAAGACACTGAGTGCAAGACCCAAAAGGCTGAGGAATGGAACAAGCATGAACTTTAACTCAAACAAGCCTTGTCCTACCTGGCAGCGGCTGAAGATATCCGAGAGGGATACTTGAACATTGAAGTGCTTCAGAACATGCAGGGCCTGTTCTTTTGCCTTTTCTGAGCTGTTCACTGAGAAACACCTTCCTTCTGCTACCTGGGACTGCAGCTTCAAGAGAGAAGGCAAAACCAAAGATGACAATAAATGATGCACTCCAGACATCGGGATCTGGGGGGTGCTTATAAGACAACTGGTTTGGTTTTAATTACAAATAATTAAAGTTAGGATGTGTTTACAGTCTAAATGTTAATCTAACAAGCACAACTGGCAATATAACACTAAGCCACTGCTGCAATAGCTCCGAGATTATGGAAGCACTGCTGTATTTTATATATATATGAAACATGATTGCCCAAGTCCCCTTCAAGTTATGATGTGGTGGTGTGGTGCTGACAGGGGTAGCAAGAGGAAACTGAATTTAATCACAGCTTTCACATGGAACCTGGCCAGATCACACACAGTGTGCAAAAGCGTAACTGTAGAATCATGGAATGGTTTGGGCTGGAAGGGAGCTTAAAGCTCCTCCAGTTCCAACCCCTGCCACAGGCAGGGACCCCTTCCACTGGAGCAGCTTGCTCCAAGCCCCTGTGTCCAACCTGGCCTTGAACACTGCCAGGGATGGGGCAGCCACAGCTTCTCTGGGCACCCTGTGCCAGCGCCTCAGCACCCTCACAGGGAAGAGCTTCTGCCTAAGAGCTCAGCTCAGTCTCCCCTCGGGCAGGTTCAAGCCATTCCCCTTGGCCTGTCCCTACAGGCCCTTGTCCCAAGCCCCTCTCCAGCTTTCCTGCAGCCCCTTTAGGCACTGGAGCTGCTCTAAGGTCTCCCCTTCAGGAGCCTTCTCTTCTCCAGGCTGCCCCAGCCCAGCTCTCTCAGCCTGGCTCCAGAGCAGAGCTGCTCCAGCCCTCGCAGCATCTCCATGGCCTCCTCTGGACTGGCCTGAGGGAGATGATGTCCAGTGACACTTCTAGCACTTCAACCCCTGTAGTTTATAGTTTATATACCATTTCACCAGGAGTTCACTGATGGCCGATGAATTTGCAGTCACTGATGTGCACAGTTTCTCAATGTTTGCTTCACATTTAGCAGAGAAGTTTGTGTGTGGGAACAAGCATTGGGAAGTTCCAGACACATCTTTACGAACAGAATGAGCACTCTCAGAGAGGTGCGATCAGCTACGCACAAGTAAAGGAGGCCACAGAGCCATTTGGTCCTTGCATAGGGCATACAAAGGTAAAGGAACAAAGGGAAGCAGACATACCCCAGGAAAGCATTGTACCCTGGGAAACAGTTGTGTTCTTTCTGCAATCCCTATGCGTACTTTGAAGTTAAGGCTTTGCTAAGTAAGATTATGCTGGGTGCCGAATTACCTATTACATCAACTGTAGGCTCAAGGAAACACAGTCTGGCTAAGGAACCTGTAGCATTGCATGGCTGCACTTGCCTCACAGTGCCTCAGCATGAGGGGAGTTTGTGATGTTCAGGTATTATGTAAGAAATTAGCAACCTATATTCTGCAAACACCCCAACAAGCTCCTTGTGTAGTTGGGATACAGCTGCACTCTTCCAAGTGAATTTCTGGGCAGCAACAAAGAGCAAAGGAGCTGCAGCAGGCATCATCACATTGCAATCACTGACTTGATGGGTTCCACGTACTCCCATCAGCAGTCTGATCTGAACTGTGTCTCATGAAGGGCTCTGAACATCTGGTGCTGAGGGAAAGGGTGGGTTTTGCTTTGGGGTTTTTTGTGTATTTACAGGAACACAAAACCCCTCCAGCTTCCATCCGGATCCATGCCTGGTGCTTCCATTCCCTCCCGTCCAAGCCTGAAGAAATGTCTTTAAGTGCTGAAACTATGTCAGTGTGGAGCCAGTCAGTAAACAAGTATCTTTGTGATAGAAAGCATGGGAATCGAGCTGCCTTTCACCTGCCAGTGAGGCCAAACAGAAACACTTTGTTCTGGATTGCCTGGCATGATTTCCACCCCTGCCCCAGTGGAGGGCAACCGCTCTCTCCACTGAGGCAAAACTGAGTATATTTCCCCCTAAGCTTTGGCCATTTGGAACATCAAACATCTCAAGACCCTTAATGTATGTTTTAGTACAGAAAACAAGAAAAAGCCAAACCAGGTGTCACACTCACATCTGACTTTTCCTCTTCTCTACACCGCCCATCCCAGACCATGCAATGATACAATGCCAGAAAAATGCCAGAAGCTCGAAACACTTACAGTGTGATATGGGAGTCCAGAGGTTAAAATGACTCTTCCTTCCTGTCGGGCAATCTGGAAAAAACAGTAATAAAATAAATAATGCATGTGGGCTGAAGTTCCACTGGATTCAAGCTTTCCTTTCAAAGCAGAAGAACATGAACTGGAGATACCGAGTCATTCTCGATGAACACACCAGGCCAAGAGTATCTGGGTCTGGTTCAACACATGCTCTTGACAGCAATAGGAGCTCAAGGTATCACTCACTACATGTCTCCTCCTTGCCAATACCTGCCTCGTGCTGGAACAAGCTACTTGTGCATCTGCACTGCAGATGGCTCAGGGAACTGATCCACCCTGAAATAATCCTATCAAACTCTTTTCTATCCCTTTTTTCGCCCCTTAACCCAGACTATTTCTATTTCCCCAGTCTGGTTCACAAACAAAAAAGCAGCTCTGCTCACACAGCAATGCACAGGAGAGAAAGACAAAAATAACCTAAATCCAGGTTATTCCAGAAAAAAAAAAGTACCATTAAACGTGCCTACGAACTTCTCAGACATTAAGAGAGTGATGCTCACTCCACTCCTGAAAGATAAGATGGTGTTATTCTTCCAGCAGCCCCACGCAGACATGCAGAAATGAGGCACCCTTTTCAGGCTGCTAGGAACAGCTCCATCAGTTTCTCACCTCCTGACTTGCAATGCTGCCCTTTTATCAGAGGTCTTGGCCTTCAAGGGAAAAGTCTGCGTTGGATTATCAGGGGACTCATCACCCGCACTTCTGACCTTCGCAGTGGAGTAAGAGACACTTTCAAATGGTTTGGTGCCAAAAGCAGATACTAAATCTGGAAGTGCAATTCTTCACAAGGTTGAAAGTGTGACTGATCTTTGCATGATGGAATGACATCCCCTCTCCCACTCTTCACCCCTCCTCCAGGAGGGAAATAGTTTCATGGCCATAGTGACAGAAGGATTCCCATGTGAACCAATACTTCAGCTCTGCTCGTGCTGACAAGAGATTGGCACTTCAAGGTAGGCACGAGGTTATTTCTCTGCTCTGGCTTGGATTCTGTTGGAAGCCCTTGGATGTTTCACTGTTTCCAGATGTGTGTCACGGAGGTCTCTCTTGTGGATCAGAGTTTGGGATGCTCTCTCTGGATCGCTCTTTAACCCTGGCAGGAGGATACATCTGGGAGCAGAGTCCTGCTCCATTTCCCAGACAGTCTGACACCACCAGCACAGCCAGAGAACACTGGGAAAACAAGCCAAGGTTCTTAAACTGGGTCACGGGGAGCCACTGGATCTATGGCAACGTGAAACATGGGGAGAAGGCTCCAAAGCACAAACTCCCTGTGCCAGGCAGTCCTGGGGGAACGGTTGGACTTGATGATCTTAAAGGTCTTTTCCAAACTAGTTGATTCTACAACTTGTTTCCTATCTTGACCTTTTAGGTAGCTGCTTCCCTCCCTTTTTGGTGAAGTCACTCTTTGGCTGCCAGTTTTGCACTGAGAAAGTGATGGCAACAACTTCTAAAGCATCTTCCTACAGGCAGGATTACTGGATTTCTCTTAAAATGAACCCTCACCCTCCATAAAGGAAAAAGTCTCCAAGCACAGGAACCCTGAAGTGGCAGCAGAGACACCCTGTGTGGCATGAATCCTCCTACATGCAGTATGGGTTACTGAAAACCCTTGCCAACAAACCGCCCTCATGACACATTAAGTCCAGTAAGGCACCAGCGAAAGTTCAGCACAGTGACTTGCTGACAAGGGAAAAGAGATGTGAAATTCCTCCAGACCCATGTGTGCTTCAGGATAAGTCTGAGGATTTCACAGCTGGAACACTCCATTCTGACTTCCTGCATCCAGGGTTAATTAGTTCAAGCTTGATAAATCCCCTTATCTAAATGGCTCTGCAGAGACAGGCAAAGAACATCAAATAAAAAGGAGAAAAGCAATAACTCTTCCAGCGTGTTTTTCCGCCTCTGGAACAACGACAGGGAGAAGCCTGCAGAGCCAGAGCAGCCATGTGATAGCACACATCTGACTGAAACCATGGAGGATACGTGCTGGAGAAAAGGGCACAATTCCTTCTTTTTTTCTGACAGAAGTAATGGGAGGCAGTGCTGGGCCCAGCCAGGAGATCTGTGCTCCGAGATGCAAGTAAAAGGCCAAGAATGCCCTAAGTAGCGTGTTGGGATGGGTGTCAGGGCCTTGTGCTCCATGCCAAGTGCTGCAGAGAGGGCACTGGCCTCGGTTTCACAATCTATTACAAAGATAATATCAACTTCCTCTGGAAAAGGCTTAGACCTTCTGGATAGAAAGCACTCTCTAATAGCTTGGTATTATTACTTAGCCCTTAACATGCCTGTCTGTTCAGCCAACTTTCGTCTTGCAGAGATGAATGAACTCCAGTGAATTACTATGAGAGAGACCTGGAAGGACAACGACTGATGAGAGAGGGCAGAGAGGGACCCGATGTTTCAAAACCAGCACCAGCCACAGAATGATTCGTGATAACCTAAAGGATCCTGACTGAGGGTCATTGAAGGCTTCATGAAACAGCAGCCCAAGGCTGTAGGTAATTTAAAGTTTGCCAAGCCCATGTACAGCTCCTGTTGGGCAATGCCACATGTCCTTGAAGAGTCAAACTGCTCCCTTTGCAGGGCAGTAGTGCAGGAAAAACTGTGTCCCCACTTGCAGTGGCAGAGGTAGCGCAGTGACCCTGAGCCCAGGCCAGCAAGGTCCCAGTTCACACAGAAAGGGAGCAGACAGAAGGCATCTGCTCCAGGATGTGTGCTGGAAAAGCACTCAGATGAGGATCAACCAGAGAAGTGGATCACAAACCTCAATCCAACCCTGGAGCATCTACCTGTTATCTCAGGCTCTTTAAAAGTAGAGAGTAAACCAAGAGGTTAATAACTAAACACAGTCCAAGCAGCCCTGCAGTGCACTTGCTGTACTGCTGGTACCTCAGACTTCTTTTCAGCATTCCCACAATTGTACAAAGTTATTGCATGATTTCCTGATGTGTCCTTAAGAACCACACCAAAACCATCAACCCAGTTTTGTTTCTTAATGTAAATTCCATTTGTATCAAGGTCTCCCATGAAGGATATTCTCTTCCTGACCAAATGTCAAAAGCAAAGTCTTGATCTTAAAGGCAGAAGAGTTCTTCATCTATCCTCTCTGAATTCACAGGCTGAAAGGGAGGCAAAAGGACTGGCAAACTTGAAGGATGGTGTTTACACCAAAACCATGGAAAAACACATTCAAAGCTGAGGCAAGATCAGAGATCAGATTCCTCCATTACATGAAGCTCTGTCCACTGCAGTATTAGAAGTCCCCTTTGTTTCTCATGGCTCCAAACCAGTTCAAGGCAATTTAAATCCAGGTGCCCATCGCTCCTGAGAACCATCCAAGCCTGGCTCTCCTCTCCAACCTGTGCGTCACCTGGAGCTTTGGGGGCATAATCTTGCAACGGAACCTTCTACACCATGGGAGCTGCAGGACGCCAGTTCTATCAGCCTTTCGGTTATTATCACACTTCAAAAGACACCAGGTTTGCCTTAGTGTGCAAATAATTCTTAGGCATGAAGATGATTTTGAAGACCAAGAGCACAGTCCATTAAAAAAATAAAACAAATTAACCCACACCTCAGCTGAAGGAGCTTTGAGATCCCACCAAGTCTCTTAGAAACAAGTGCCCAAAAAGACTACCAACATTTTCTTAGAAGCTTCTGCTCTACTCTTGAAGTACAACATTGCAAGACCTATTGTAGTCACTTCAGGCTGGTGGTCATGATCCTTTAAAGTTAGCATGAAAAGCATCCCTCTGCTCTACCTCATTCTGCAAACCTGCAGAGAAAAGACCACCACTCACTGAAACTTTCCTACCTCCTTCCACTTACCTATCTAGAGGAGCCCAAAAGATAGGTTTAAGAATCACTACAAAGAAGAGTGTGCTGAAAATAAGCTGGAAGATGTGGCTGGAAACACAAGGGCAGAGCACTGTGCCAGTGCTTCAGCACCCTCACAGGGAAGAGCTTCTGCCTAAGAGCTCATCTCAATCTCCCCTCTGGAAGGTTCAAGCCATTCCCCTTGGCCTGTCCCTACAGGCCCTTGTAAGAAAGAAGTATTAATTGGAAATAACAAGTTGTTTGTATGAATAAGTGCAAATGCAAAGGGTGGCACACACTGAAGGACTCTGCAAAGGAGATCAAATCTCCACATTCTTTACCAGATGGAGACATTCTTTACTTTGGGATGGAGTCAGAAGCCCCTGGTGAGGACCAGCAGGATGCACAGAGTGCAGGATTCAAGAGAGGCCTCCCTTCATGCCCCACAGCAGGGACCCAGGCCTGGGCCACTACCCTAAGCCCTCCCAAAGGGTCTATAAGAAAACACCAAACAAACCCATAGCTGACCCAGCACAGCCTGCACATGTCTCAGGCTTTTAAGTTTGGTGCAGGACATGACCCATCTGCTTACCAGCACTTGAAGTCACTTTGAGAAGCAACAGGAATGAGAACAATAAGAAGCAAATGCCAGGCGATTCAGGAGTTCTTGGCACATGGAGATGTGCAACATGACTGACAAGTCATTTGAGTGAAATGACTTTAATGAAGGACAAACACAAACTCTGTACACAACTACGTGTTCCTGGTGACACTAGTTTGAGACTGGTGGGACAATACCCAAACCATCTCTCTCGTATTCAGTGACAAGGATCCAAACCTTTCTCCTGGCCTTTGCAATAACATTTACATGTCTTTGGGCACAGGGTGGTCAACATTCAGTTTCTATTAAATCAGAATGAGACAGATATAAAGCAGGGTGGGAGGGGTCTATTTTTATCTTTGATTGTCCAAGCACAGATCAAAGGCTCTGCAATACAGTAACACTCCAAAGGCTTTTGATAGTGAAAGGATGTTTGTCCGGTCACCATAGAGAAAGCAATGCAAAACATCCTGTCCATGGCACGATAAGGTATCAGGATGAGAAGCGGAGCTGGGGCTCTGGGGGCAGGCACTGGGAATGAGTTTGTTTAAATGACTTGTGCAAGTCTGGCAGAGATGAGATATTAATTATTTCTGCAGAAGTCAGAGCCTGCCCAAGATCTGGGCCAAGCAGACATCTGAAGAGGAAACATCCTGTGCACCAGGGTGCACAGGTGATCCGTGCGCATCTGACAGCAACACACTGTGTGGGCTGGATATCTCCAGTTCTGGCACAGTAGAAATATGTCTGAAATGAAGCAGCATGTGCCTCTTCTCCAAAAGGCAGGGGGTCAAAGCTGCTATGGGAGTCCAAATCAATGTTCATTGTCCTTATATATGTTAGAGACTTTTCACTTCTCAGATATTTCATTGCAAGTTGTGGCTGATCAGCTTTGAATCATCTCACAAGTTGGTAGCCAGCTAGGAGGTTATACAGCAATTTCACAGAGTCAGAGACTGGTTTGGGCTGTAAGGGACCTTAAAGCTCCTCCAGCTCCAACCCCTGTCACGGGCAGGGACCCCTTCCACTGGAGCAGCTTGCTCCAAGCCCCTGTGTCCAACCTGGCCTTGAACACTGCCAGGGATGGGGCAGCCACAAACTCCCAAAGAAACAGAAACAAGTAAGGTTTGAGCTCACAGCACTCTCTGCTCACTTCCTCTCCCCTGGAAATGCAGAACCAAGGCCCCAGACTGCTGCAGGGACTAAATAACACTAGCTGCCATGCGGCACAGCTTCTTGGACTGAGCCAGAGGACCTGGCCTCAGCATGGCACAGGAGGAATGTGCTGGGCACCTCCTGCCAACCCGCTGCCTGTTGGGCATGGGTGAGTAACCAGTGCAGTTACACAGCGAGCAGCAGGCCTTCCCCAGGGAGTGCATGTGGGAGTTCTAAACATACCCCATGCACATGACTAACCTCAGCAGCCTTCCTATGGTCATCGCCGTTCTCCAGCATCCGGACATCCACACCAAGGCAGCGAAGATAGCGCCCGAGGCCTTGCAGCATGTTATCACAGACCACACTGAACTCCTTTGGAGAGATGGGAGCAGGGCAACACAGGGTCTCTGTTCTGGATCCTTGGCATTGCTATAGAAAGGCAAGAGATCCGTAAGAAGCACAACAGAAGGCTGCCTTCCATACAATTGTGTGTTGCTTCCCTACAGTCACCTGCCATGGCAAATCCAACTGTCCCCTTCCACCTGTATTACAATATCCCCCCATGCTATATCTACAACAGCCCCAGTTCCTCCTTCACGTCCCTTCTACACTGCTCACCTACCACTTGGGCAGGAGGCAGCACATGATAAGGCTCATTCTGAAACATCTCCTCATTCACTGGCCACACAGCCCGAGGATCTGCAGCCTTGCAGTGGAGAAATCCCAACCTGGACTTCTATGCCCTACACAGCCATTCATTTTCATCAATCCACAGAAACACATCTTCAAGACTCCTATTCCCCTACAGAATCAGACTGCAACTAATGTACATGTGCCAAAGGTACGATCTGGGGAGGGGATCTGACAGACAAACAGGTAGACAAAGCAACCACTTCAGCTTTGTTACCTTCGGAAGATTCAAAATAGGCAGTGCCTGAATTCTGTTTATTTTATTTCCAATGGCTGCTGCTGGGAGAGTTCCTGCAGTTGGAGATGCACATGGGAGGCTCCCAGAAGTACAATAGCTAAATTCATGGAGAAGGGAAGTCATTAAGGAACCTCCAATGTTCAGCTTTTGCCTCCAGGAACTTGAATCAGCTGCAGTGACTGAAGGACACAGCCACCATCTATGCAGGGCTACTGTGTCTTTCAAAACAGAGAGTTCCTGCAGCATTGCAGATGGGCTCTGCAGGAGCTCTACCAATGTGCTGCTGCACCTCCCAGAAGCTGGCACATCCAAAGCTCTGAAGCACTCGGTAGACTTCTGCAAGGACCTTGGTGGATGCAGCTGAGACATCAAGGGATCAAGCTGACCATTCCATGCCGAGGTAGCTGAAAGACACTAACCCTGTGCTGCTGCTTGTGTTGTAGCAGATGGGAGGGAGCAGCAGCTGGCTCTCAGTGCGTGTTTACTCAATGACCAGCAATGGCCCAGGTAGCTTTTTTTTCCTCATGTTTCATACCAGCAGAGAGCAAAAAGCTTATAAAGGAGAAAAGTGTCATTAGCCCCACTTCAGGTAGTGGAGCAGGGAACACTGGGAAAGAGAGCTTGGAGCTGTGCAGGATGCAGAGTCAGAAGGACTCTGCCTGTTTGAGTCCCAGTCCAGGTTTTACCAGTTACCTCTCGCTTAGTGAATCTGACTGTACAGAACAGAGATGACCTGTGAGTTCACAAGGTAATTCAAGCCTGAAGTACTTACTTTTCCCATCTCTGCAGCAGCCAGTAGGATCTGTTGTAATGTACAGTATTCCCATGAAGAGAGCACTTAGGAAACTACCAGGCAGCTTTGTGTTTTACTGCCTAAGGCTAATGGCATACTGTCCATTTACACACAATTGATAAGGAGGATCCTGAAAAGGTGACTATAATCAACAGCCTGTCAGTCCAACCATGGAATGTGCCATTGACTTCAGGAGCTAAATATGCATTTGGGACTATCCAGAAGGATACACAGCCATAGAGAGTCTTCTCAGGTAATGAGCTACACTGGTTTTCTGCTGATGTTTTCATAGGTGCATAAGCAAGCAGATGGGACCATTTAAAAAGTAAAACTCTACAACAAACAGAGAGGGACCAGTCACATTCCAAGATATTTAAACAGAGCCACCCAGCTCCAAGTTATGACCTACGGAGTTTTGAAGCTCTGACACAACACACATTGCAGGGGAAGCCAGGCATGGAGTACATGGTGGTGAGCAGGAAGACAGAGACAAGCCATCAGCAGAAAGGGTTTTTTGATGGAGTTTGGTTTTAACTTTGCAGGCACAATAAGGGAGGCATTCCCAAAGGAAAACCAAAGTGTAGCTCAGTTAAAAACAAAAGTAAGGAATGCAGCACTTAAGCCACAGAATTGAAACACACACCACTGGGGAAACATAGAAGGAACATTTCTACCAAGGTTAGCTGGACTCTGCCACAGAGACCTGCACTGAGCTTTTGAGAAGACAACTGACCCTGAAATTGCAGGGAGAGCTGAACCAAGGCACGCAGAGGAGAAAGCACATCTTGGCAGTGCAGGAAGGGGTAAGGAAGAGCTTTGCTGCAATAGTCCTGAGAACAGACAGCAAACAGGCATGCCATGCATAGCTAATGGCATGACTGAGAGACAAGGCAACATATGATTTGCAGGGGTCTTGAGCAACATGCAGCTCTTTGAAGATGTTTACAAACCTGTCCAGAAGGTGACAGTGCCTCTTGTTTATTCAGCTGCTTCTTTGCCTTGGGTTTTATGCTTTCCTTTCCCAGCAGACTCTTTGTCAGGTCTGAGCTCAGCCCAAAGCTCTCTGGATCCTTACAGAGCTTCTCGTAGATCTCCAGCAAACAGTAGGCATCTGAAGCTGAAGATACAGCAATATGAATCTCAGCATCTTTCCTGATGCAAGGAGCAGCCCTCACCTTTGTACATGCAACACAAACCACCTGTGAAGCTCCAACTTACTAATGTCATCCTCTGCACTCTTTCACTGATGTAGTGAGCATCACAGCCTAACACCAAGGTGGAGGAGCTCAAAAAGCCACAGGTTCTCTGCTGTTTCTGGCTCTAAGGCAATGCAAACTGTAGTGTGCCTGTTCCAACCACCTCAGACAGCTTCAGCCAAGGCATTTTACTCTCCATTGTTCCTGAGCAGCGGCTTGCCCACGGTTTATTACCACATCCCAGCTCTGGGAAGGTAACTTCCCCTTAGATGCAATATCTGACAAAGTAACAACCGAGTTGTTTGCAATCCCCTGCCCACACGCACTGCCATGCGGCTCCTGTTCCTTGCAACGGGAACTGTCGAAGTCTCCAAGCCAGTTTTACGAGTCCTGGTGATTAACTCTTGTGGGAACTGTGTCAGCTTCAAGGATAGCTGAACTGAACACAGGGCTTGTTCACTCCACAAGACTGTCCTTTGATGCCTCAGGAAAAGACTGAGACCCAGACTTGTGGCTCTGGGGTAATCAGCAATAAACTCCACTGGTCCCTCCACAGTACTAAGGCTGTGCTGCAGTTTCTGACACCATGCCTACCCATTTTTAACTGCTCTAACAAGCACTTCACTGTGACAAATGAACACAGCACTTGTTCCCCAGAAAGGCTGTGTAATGAGGCAGAAGGAAGTGGACTTTCCTCCTTTCAGTTACTGAGAGGAGTTTCCACTGAGGTGATGTTTCATCAGACAAAATCTGCAAAGCACAGGATTTCTTTTATAAGGGAACTAATGAATCACTGGACAGTTTAAACATCAGCCACCAAAGCCATGTCCGCAAAGGACAAACGTAACATGTGCTGGCTTCTCTGAGCAGGGGTTAATCTGCAAAGCCACTTTCTTCATTTGCTACCAAACAATATTCCCAATGACAGAGAACAACTCAGCAGTAACAGACAATCTGTAGCACCTTGCCACACTCAGTGACCAGACCTGCATAGAGGATCTGCTCCTCCCGGAGAGGCCGTTTCTCCCAGTTAGAAAGTTGCTCTGTTTTATCTAGAGGTTTCCCCAGGACGTATTGCACCAAGAGGCTGAGTCCTTTCTCTGGCTGCTTGATTCCTCTCCCCTCATCGCTCTGCTCCAGGGACAGGACATCGACCTCCCGGCCACCCTTCTTCGAGTCAATGGAGCGCTTCTGCAGCTGATGGGAAGATATAAACAGAAACCACCTGGTTAGAAACCAACTTCTACATCTCCTGTTCCAGTGGGTGGGGCCATGCAGCAACCCTATCACCTTTATCTCTTGCCCGGCATATTGAATCCCTTGTCTCAGACAAGGGCTGGGATGCCTTTAGATATACACGGCGTCTGGTTATTTGTTTAACAAACACATGCTGGAAAGAAATCTGTTTCACAGCCAAGGAAGGGAAAAGAAGTGCACTGTTGTAGAGCACTGCATCAGAGCAACCACAGCAGAGTGGAGCTGTGGCTCGGACTTCTCAGAGGTCTGCAGGGTGCTCAGCAGTGCTGGAGGCCGTTGGGCACTGGTTCAGGAAGAGAACAGCAGCAGCAGCTCAGCACCTTTCTCCTCCTAGCTCCAGTGAGAAAAGGCATTCCTGTGAAACAGTGGGCAACTGCCCTTCTGCGGCTGCCATGTATCAGATGAAACTGAGCCAGTGGCTGTTGGCAGGTGCCTCAGACCCTGCAGCACTTCCCAGGTTAAACTATCACTCCCAAAGATCTGGATTCACCCCAACCCCCAGCCTTCAGCACACTCTGTACATTTCACCCATGAAAACGGTTGAACCTCGTATTTCTGCAGACTGTTACAACCTGTGTGCAACCCCGGAGCAGAAATCCCTGTGCTGAATTCACCAGCAGCCCTCTGCGAGCATTAACTCCAAAACATCTGCTCCAGTACTGCATGCTCTTGGATACCAGAATTCCTCCAAGAATTTACTGTTTACGACTTGGGCTCAGCCACCATTCCCTACCTGAATGGAGCTATGTGTCCATTTCAATTGCTCTTTCCTAGCTTTTACAAAGGCTATATCAAGCTCTAACTTTTTAGTTGAAAACTAAATGCTTCCATCTTTTTACAGAATCACATTACCCTCAGCATCACGAGTGGCAAAGCTCTGTTTTCTCATTAGGCATGTCCCTGCCAACACAGGACACAAAAAGACAATGCTGTGAATTCATGACAGTTATCTACAAGCAAATGCAGCAGACACAGTTTTCCGTATCTTCATGTGTTCATCCTTACTCGTTTGTCCACTGTGAGTAGGTCCACCATGCCTTTGGCTTTCTTATCTGCGTCTTTCAAAGCAGACCACATAGCTGCGAGGTTGCTAAGGTCTCCAGACATCCCATAACCTGGAGGAAAGAAAAGCCCAAATCACTCAGGTAGGAAAACCCAGATTGTGGGGCTGATGCACCGAAGCTTTTCCTAGTTCAGAGCCACAATGCTGACAATATCTGTATGAACTGGTGAAAAGACTGTTCAGACAGAGAGCAAGGGAGGCTCCTGACTCTCCTGCTCCTAAGAGATCTTGCAGATCTCTCCTTGATCTTGCAGATGAAGACTGGGAGAGAAGAGGTGGGTGAAGAATGTGAAGTTTAAGGTCAACTTCTTTGCAATCTGCTGTGTCAGTGAAAGGCAGTTTGGAATTTGCACTTGAACTCCAGATTTAACAACTCCTGCCAAAAGCCTCCAAAGAGGCTCTAAAGGCAGGTATAGTAAACTGGAGAGCTCTGGTGTCCAGCACAGCAGCTCTGGGACAGGAGCAGCAAATCCAGAAAGCTCTGGATGGCAGACTTCCCTAGACCACTGGAGGCTAGGTGCAAGTCGAGTTTTAAGTGTGGAACTAAGACTATCCCAAGGCTGAGGGGGCATTCTGTTGTATCAGAAATCTGGGGTCTGACCTGAAATGGGAAGACATTTCTATCAATCCCCTGCTTCGTGGCATGGCAGTATTTGAATACCCAGGGTTACAAAAGCTGGTTCCATGATAAGTGAATTTAGAGAATGACAAATCCAAGAGGATCTGGGAACTGTACATAATAAGCTGGATATTAAGACCTGAGGTGGGGGGAAGAGAAGCACATTACCTAGTTTAGTGATGGATGCATCTGAATAGAGCATTTGGATGAAATGGGGAAGCTTCTCCTTCTCACCATCCACCTCAGCTTGCTGGAAGAGCCGGGGCAGGTCAAGCAGGAACACCTCATCCTTCAGAGCGATCTGAAGGAGGGAGACACGGGGCTTCCCAACCATGCCAAAAGAAGGCCTCCACTCCATGTCAATGCCAACAACCTGCGCAGGCTGCAACACAGACAAAAGCCTTCTTCACTTAGGGACTGCACACTTAGAATCCCAGCCTGGTTTGTGTTGGAAGGGACTGTAAAGCTCCTCCAGCTCCAACCCCTGCCACAGGCAGGGACCCCTTCCACTGGAGCAGCTTGCTCCAAGCCCCTGTGTCCAACCTGGCCTTGAACACTGCCAGGGATGGGGCAGCCACAGCTTCTCTGGGCACCCTGTGCCAGTGTCCCACCACCCTCAGAGGAAAGAATTTCTTCCTCATATCCAACCTAAACATCCCTTGTTTCAGGGTGAAAGCAGCCTGGATAATCCTTGTCCAGAACATGAGCCGTTCCTTTCCAACAACTGCAGCTCTCTGCTAGTGTGCAAACTTCTACAGAGACAAGTAACTTCCATAGCACTTCCATAACTTTCCGAGTTAGCCCTGCAGGGACCTTTCCTGGCACAACAATTCCCAATGTGTTGCCCAAACTGGACAAGCCTAAGGGAAGCAGCTGTTCTTGACTTGAGGAGGGAGATATTTCATGCCAGTGGCCCACATTCAACCCTGTGACCCAGCCTGCTGTGGAGTTTCTGCTCCTTGACCCTGCAAAGTAAATACCAGAGTAACACTCACCTGCAGCACCTTTTCCCAGCACTGCAGCATCTCTTCCCATGTCTGCAGGAGGTGAATATTTGCCCGTGGAATGGGAAGTTGGTAATAGTCCTTCTTCTTACTCCGTTCATAATTATCTACTGCGACTTCTTCAACTCTGCACAGAATCAGATGCAACAGCTTTAGGCCATGTAATGAGAAGAAATCCTGGACTGGAGGAACATCAGAATCTTAAGCTCCTTATTTCCTCCCCTAGCCCTCCATCTGCCCATGGCACTCAACTCTCTCACCCTCTCTTTTCTCACTTCCCCTACAATCCCAGTCTCTTTCATCCTCTCTCTCAATTCCTGTTACACAATGGCTCTGAACCCAAGATCTCACCACACACACGCACTGTGCCCACTGCAGAGAGCACCCAGCCCCAGACACTTGCTGGAGCCCAAGTCCCCAGCCCTAACTTCAGTGCTCAGCTCTGCTTCCCAGAACTGACTCAACATGGATGATAAAGTTGGGCAGCTCTTTCCACATCCAAAGGTAACACATTTTAGATTTACTGCTTTTTGCCATAGAGGTTAACATGGAAGTCTGCTGGCTCCCACAGCGTAACACAACAAAGTCAGGTCTGACCAGTGCTCTGTCCAAACGGGAGCTTCACACTTCTCCACAGCACAAACTGCCTCCATAAGACTCTCTGACTGCTCCACACCAAGGTCACTGCCAGCTAGGAATGAGCGAATCTGCCTCATCATTTCATAGTGCAACAGCCTGGGAAGGCTTCAGGATCTCCCTGATGCCATCCAGCATCTCCTCCATCCCCTTCCCTGTGAAATGTCCACAAAGGCTGCACAAGAACATTTGTCCTGCATTGCACAGGGATTAAATGAGAAAAGCTCAGAAATAGTTTCAAACCCACCTAGATTTAGAGGAAGGCAGCCCCAGAGTGAGCCTGCGCTGCACCCTGCACTTAGCTTTCAGATGGCGCCGTGCAGAGAAAACCAGTATCTGTGATGGATACCCTGGGAATGCTGGGAGACGCAGGCACGAGCTAACTGACTTCCTATGGCAGGATCTTACACAGCGAAGCGCGGCAGAGACTCTTGCAGTGGCCCTGGCGCTGGGAGGTCAGCACCTTGCTGGGGTGCCTCAGCCAGATGAAGCAATCAGAGGAAAGCAACTAATGACAAATATCCAGCTATTCTGGACATGTCACAGATTTCTGGATAGTCTCTTTTCCATAAAGGTTTGAAAGAGTTTATTAGGTGAGGAACTATTTACTAACCTCCTGTTTAGGGGCCTGTGTGACTAATTCTGTAGCACAGCAGCTTCCACTGTACAAACACTCTTTCCTGGGGGTTTGTGTGCATGGGGAAGTCAATATTTGTGTAAGGTATTTAATGAAGGGGTGCAGCCTCGGGTCTCCAGCAATATTCTCACCTGCAGAGATCAGGAGCCACACATGGTGTGAGCAGTGGCAGAGCTGATGTCATTTATATGCTGGTACCACCTTGTTCTCTGCAATGTGAACATCCTCCCTGGGAACCTGCTGCTTTGTTAGCTCAACAGATAAGGCAGGCAGACTGTTTGACTGGGTTCCATGGCTCTGCTGACTTGACAACAGCTACTACAGCAGGTGTAGGACGGGATGAGTAAAAGGGATTTACCCAACCAGCACAGCTCCTCGTGAGCAGCAGAGCACATCCCAGTCCGCATGCCTCCACTCCACCAGCACACAACACAGGATTCCCAGGGCACAGGGATGATGTGATGGTTTTTATCCTTCTAGATGTAGAGAGTCTGTGGCTAAATCACACTCCTGCTAACCAGCCCTCTGTGTTTTGAGGGATTATCCCTCGTGCAAAACCCTTGTGGTTACCAGCTGGTGGTTGGTGCAGCTTTAGGAGGGAGGAAGAGGGCAGCTCCAGCAGTGCACCAGAGCAAAGCAGAAGCATGCCCTAGACACACAAGAGTTTCCTGTGCTCCAAGAAAGCTGTGTCCACCTGCAGAAGTGGGCTTTGCAGATGGTGTTTCCAGTGTGATTACATCTGTGTAATGTTTCCTGAGGTTACATGGGGCTGTCCTGAGGTTACATGGGTGCCCAGAGGAACTGCGGTTGCCCCATCCCTGGCAGTGTTCAAGGCCAGGTTGGGCAGAGCCTTGGGTGACCTGGTTTAGGGTGAGGTGTCCCTGCCCATGGCAGGGGGGCTGGAACTGGATGGTCTTAAGGTCCTTTCCAACCCTAACTATTCTATGATTCGATGACCCTCATGCAGCACCATCTGCAAGCTCTGCAGCTCCCCAGGGCAGGTGTGCAGGCCTTTCTGAAGGGAAAATAAAAGGTTTAAAAAAGGGTGCCAAACGTGGCTATCTGAATAACCTGCTTAAACACCTTGTGGACAGAGTCACCAAAGTATGGAGATACAGCACCATTCAAATGAGTGTAAATGTGAACTACTGGGGCTCAGCAAATCGCTTCCATTAAGACCTTTTTTCACATACAACCTTTCTTCCTCCCCATAGCGGAGCTGAGCAACTGCCTGGGATATTGGTATATGGAAATCTTGGCCATTTTCTCAAAGAGACACAGCACAGAAGACCCAGAACCAAAACTACAAAGCCCTGCTACTTTGCCAGCTCTGGTGTGCTGTGGGGATCAGACACCGCTGCCAGTACTTTAGGTGGCCTGTATGTGCCTTCCTACGTTTGCAGTCTCCTTCCAACTTCACACAGCTTTATCTCCATACAGCATGGAACCTGGCCACCCTCTTCCCTCCATCCTTCCCCTCTGCTCCTCCTACACCAGCAGGTTCACAGAGATCCTTGACTGGGGCTGTTTGCATAGCTCTGTGCACTTGAAATCAAGGAGTTGTGAGAACACTTCTCAATATAAGGAGTTTTCAATCCCTTTTTTTTACTCTGCCTTTGTACTATTGCTTCAGGTCATGCCCCAGGATGAAGCTCCCATCAGGGGAGGAACTGCAGCTACTGCAGGCTGATGTGCTGCACACAACATGGGGGTCCCAGGGCAGGAGAGGAACCATGGCACTGGGTTACTGGGGTTGCAATAGAGGAGGAAAAGGGGACAGAGGCTAATCAGGGGGCTAAGGGCTTCTTAAGTTCACTTTGCAGCTTTGTGTCAGTGAGTCTGTTACTATCCCAAATTCAATTAGTGCAACTCTTCTGGGATCTGACCCCAAATGTCAAAAATTCCCATTACTTCTAAAAGCTTCGGATGAAGCAAAAATTACAGACTGGGATGAAAAATGGCTTCTGAGCTGTCAATGGAGGGAGAAAATAAATGCAGTAGAAAAATCTAAGGAACTTTAAAATGAGTTCCTTGGTTATAAGTCTCCTAAAAGGCATTAAAACAGAACACAGTACAGTGGGGATCAGAGTACAGAAAACTATGATAGACACGTAATCAGCTCAGTAGAATAGACGCATACTCAGGTAGTAAACACATCATCTCATCTGCCCTGTTGATCTGGCAGAGGATGTCTGAAGACCCCCCTGCAGCACACAGCAATCTCATACGGCTTCTAAGTACTCAGGAGTGAGTTTAAAATGTACCTTCACAGCCATTTCCAGGCTGATGAGAGGCAAACGCAGCATGTACATGGCTCACATGTGATCTGAGTAAATGGAGGAAGATTCTGCAAAATCATCTCCCCAAGGAAACATTATGGAAGGTTACCTTCAGCAAATATGCAGTCTTTGTATTATAAGTGGTCTACATGGAAAAGGCACGAAACAGAGTATTTACCTCTCTTGGATCTGAAGCTTTTGAAGCTCATCAGCTACTCTGCAAGGCAGCATCTCCTTGGGCAAATTGCAGCGTTGGGCCCATCTTGCTGCTGTGTTCAGATCACAGTAACTGGTGAGCAGCTGTATCAGGTGTCCTTGAAGCCATCGATTCTCTCCAACTGTGCTCTGAAAGGGGAATCAAGGGACAAGGAAGACTGTCAGAGCAATTTCCACCATGGGTGTTTCTACCCCCAAGAAGACAGCATGCCCAGCGGCCCTGGACTAGTGCAGGAAGGGACAAGAACCCTCTCACTGCAGGAGTGGTGTTGTACAAACCCAGTTAGTGCTGTACTTCTCTGCCAAGAGATGAAGAGCAGATACTTCAACTGACAGCTCATCAGGGTACCTGGGACCCCTTGTCAGCGCAGCTATTTGCTCAGGGAACACCACTTTGCAGGTGTGGCACAGAGAAGCAAGGGTAAAGCAATACTATTGTGTGTGACCGAAGATTAGCATTTTATTTGCTCAGATGGTAATTATATTAAGCAAAATCAGACCAAGTGACTAACCAGACAGTAAAGGTTTTTGGGCTCATTATGCATGCAGGCAATTCATACAATCCCAGCCTAGTTTGTGTTGGAAGGGACCTTAAAGCTCATCAAGTTCTACCCTTGCCACGGGCAGGGACCCCTTCCACTGGAGCAGCTTGCTCCAAGCCCCTGTGTCCAACCTGGCCTTGAGCACTGCCAGGGATGGGGCAGCCACAGCTTCTCTGGGCACCCTGTGCCAGCGCCTCAGCACCCTCACAGGGAAGAGCTTCTGCCTAAGAGCTCAGCTCAGTCTCCCCTCGGGCAGGTTCAAGCCATTCCCCTTGGCCTGTCCCTACAGGCCCTTGTCCCAAGCCCCTCTCCAGCTTTCCTGCAGCCCCTTTAGGCACTGGAGCTGCTCTAAGGTCTCCCCTTCAGGAGCCTTCTCTTCTCCAGGCTGCCCCAGCCCAGCTCTCTCAGCCTGGCTCCAGAGCAGAGCTGCTCCAGCCCTCACAGCATCTCCATGGCCTCCTCTGGCCTCACTCCAACAGCTCCACGTCCCTCTTGTGCTGCTGCCCCAGAGCTGGATCAGGGCTGCAGGGGGGGGTCTCCCCAGAGCACAGCAGAGGGGCAGGATCCCCTCCCTGAGCTGCTGCTCACGCTCTGGGGGTGCAGCCCAGCACACATGAAGGGTTCGGGGCTCAAGGGCACACTGAAGTGCATCCAGTCTCCCCCAGCCTGTGTTTGTGCTTGTCCCAGAGCCCCTCAGCCAGCTGAACAGTTCACTCCTCTCACCAGAGTGATTTACACATGAATCTACCTTAGAAGTACATATTGCCAAGAACACTTAATTGCCAAAACAAGTTGAAGCTGCATGGAGGATCAGGATCTGGATGGATATGTAATGATATGACTATATTGCTGCAGGCACCACCACCAAGTATTTTTCAGTGTGGTAAAATGCTCAGATACGCACTGAAAGTCCATCCCCACCCTGCACACATGCCCCTGCCCCCTCTCCCTCCTTCACTGCCACCATGCAGTGCTTGTAGGGCAGAGGCTGCTCCCAGGGACCCCAGGCACCTTCCTCTTCCTCCCTGCGTGTACAAACACAGGCGGGCTGGGTGGGAGGCTGGGGCCACGGGGCCTCATTCCTCACATTCCTTCAGTAACCAGAAGGTGAGAAGTTGTCTTCAAAGCAGACACCCTGCACAGGGATCAGGAAATGAACCTGCTGATGGCCCCAAGGGGAAAGGGAAGGAAAAAAGAAAGCACAAAAGGAATGACCCACCCCAGAGAGATGCAGGAGGGGGTAGAGGCTTGGAAGAAAAGCCATGGCGAAATCCAGCATCCCAGGGAGTGCAAGGAGAAGCCAGCCTGCTCCCAAAAACTGCAGCCTCAGCACGAATCTGCACCCCTGTGCCTATGCCAAATGCCAAACCACATTTCTTCTCATGGATATGGGGGGTACAGTGTTACTGCTGCTCCTAAGAAGCTGGTGGCTCAGCAAGGAGCTGGGGTCAGCGGGATGGGGGTCCAGCAGTTAAGCAGAAGCTCAGTTGTGGGGAGAAGCAGGAAAGGGAACAGAGGGAAGGGGCAGAGCAGGGCAGGACAAGCTCTCATGGTAACACTGCATTTCCCCCTGAATTTCTCCCCCTGGCCATGCCAGTCCTCATACATGTGCATCTCTATCATTTGTGCTTCATGCAGCTGAACTCAGCCAAGCACCTAACACCCGAGGGGGCTTTGAACCACTCCTGCTGTGTCTGCCAAGCCACTCCTCAGAGTCCTTCCCCAGAAGAACATACTTTCTTATTAACACCCCAGAGCAATCCCCCCTTGTAGCTTCCCCCGTGTCCATCCTATTGTCTCTGCCTTTTTTCTAGAGCACAAACTCTTCGGGCTGGATCTCTCTTCAGTTCACCCTGAGTAAATGCTTCATAAATCTCATCGGGGCAGCTCAGTCCTCGCAATAATGAGGTGCAGACTGCTATTTTTTTTCTCTTTTTAATTTTAATGATAACAGATTTATTCTTTCAGCTACAAACCCAGCTCTGGACAGAAGGTCACCCTCTCCAGAGATATTCCATCTTGCGTTCTGAAATGGAAAATAGCTTTGTTTGGTTTTCACTGACAAAAACCCCAACACTGCTCTAAAGGGAAAAGGCTTCCACCGCAACAGCTCTGCAAGCAGCAGGAATGTGGAAACTCTGGCCCCGGAAGATGTGGGCACAGATGCAGACAGAAATGTTTCACTAGGGATGACATTTCATGGGTTTTGTTGTCAGTAAATGAACACTTCAAGGGGAAACCAGCAGAGTTGTTCTGATCCCACCAGCGACAGCTCTGAGCAGGAAAAGATGATATTAACGTGAGCCTTGGTTATGTCCCTCTCTGAATGTTCTTTAATCCATAGGTGCACACAAAAACTCCTGACATCAACAATGAGCCATGATTAAAGCTTTCCAAAATGAAAGCTGCAGATTACCTACCCGTAAATCCTGTTCCTCCCCAGCCAAATGCTTCACAAAGCTCACAACAACCAGTGCAGGGCGACCTGAGGAATGTCCTGATCTTAACCCACAGCATCAGCAATCACATTGTTATCAATCATTTTGGATATATATATATACAATAGCCAGTATCTCCTTTGGAAGCCACCCGAGACTACTTCTATCTGTATGTGTTGAGTTGTATGTGGATACAACTCTCTGCTTTCCCTCAATAACCTTTACCAGAGAGTGAAGTTATTCACACCAGTGACACTGGCTATTTGCAGAGTCAGGTTTTCATTTATGTTTTGAATGTCTTGGCCAATTTCCCCTGTTTTCAAGTGCTTCCAGAATCAACAACAACAAAAAAAAATCCTGTTAGCGCAGAGAAAATGTCAAGCAGAGTATTTCAGAGCCAGCAACTTTCAAAGGGGGAAAGGAACCTGGCCTTTGAAAGGAAAAAACCACTGTAAGCACTGGAGGATACTAACAGCATTCTTAAACTCACTGTGGTGACACCTCTGTTTAAAGACTCCTGGATTTCATAGAATCATAGAATGGTTTGGGTTAGAAAGGACCTTAAGATCATCCAGTTCCAACCTCCAATTTCCTTGCTACTTTATGTTATTTGCGCTTGAGATTTCTGTTTTGAAGTTCACATCATTTGCATTCCATGGAGAGATGCTGCAGTAGCACTTCACCATTGAAGGGAAGTCCTCTGTGCATGAGATCAGAGCTGGGACTCTTTGTGCCAGCTCAGACCAGGGTCGTAGCCTGTTCTGTGTGAGAAGGGGGATCCTGACTTGTGGATATCCTACCTGGGCGGCACTTGGATAAGAGATGCCAATTTTAGCCAACCTTACAAGGGTTTCTCATGAAAGCCACTCACCCACAGCCAATGCATAAAGAGAAGCATGAGAAAGCTGTGCCTGCTCACCACTGGAGCTGCTCTCTCACAGGCACTGCCTGCTCAGATGCACTAATTTATGAACTGAAGAACAAAATAGGCTCCATTCATATCCCAGAAGGCTGATTTTCAGATAGCAATCAGTGCGTCACTGACAGAGCCACACTTCAGTGTTCTGGAGGCCATTACCACATCAATGGCGGGGAAGTGGTCTTTCTTCTCTCTCAACAAAGCTTTGGCAATGGGGCTTCCTAGGGCATGTTCACACTACCTAGCTTCAGCTTTGTGAATCAGGAGACTCAGCTTCCCAGTCTCCAGATGCAATCAGCTCTTCCAAAAGGCAATTCAGAGGAGTCTAACTTACGATATCACTTGAACCAATCAAGGCAAAGGCAGCTCTTAAAGCCAACTTGTTACTGTAGTGGGGCTCCTCACAAGGAGCTTTTTGTTCCTGGGCAACCTGAATGAAGCCATGAGCTTGTGATGAGTGGCCAGGACAAGTTCTGGTTTTTCTCTCTGTACTCACTCAATCTCACCAATGCAATTTCTCATTCAGAAGTTCAGGCACCACTACCAAAGGGCAGGAAGAAGACAAGAAATGTATGGCTTGTGTGTTAAACATTGCCTGGCCACCTGCACATCCAGCTGTGCTCCACCAGCAGCGTGATGGCAGTGATGACTCCCCTCTCCTCTGCACTTGTGACACCACACCAGGATATGGGGCCTAGGCTTGGTACCTCAGTGTAAAAGAGGTGCTGGGGCCCCAAACACAAGAGGGACATGGAACTGCTCAAGCAAGTCCAGAGGAGGCCATGAAGATGGCCAAGGGCCCTAAGGGCTGGAGTAGCTCTGCTCTGGAGACAGGCTGAGAGAGCTGGGCTGGGTCAACCTAGGGAAGGCTAAGTTGGGGCATATGGGGGATTATAATCACCCTCTTCAATTTTATCATGGGGGAACATAGAGAATATGGAGTCAGATCCTTTCAGAAATACCAGCCAGGTCTAAAGGAGAAGAATGGTGACTGAGAGTGGCTAAACACTGCATCGGTTCCAGAGGGACTGTGGAACCAGGCAGGGCCCTGCAACACCTTGTTGGCCCTCCTTTGAGCAGGAGAGCAAAGAAGAGACCTCCACATGCTCCTTCAAGTGAAGTGAGCCTTGATTCTGTGACCAGCACTGCTGTGCACTGCTCAGCACCAAGGCTCGTCCCCACACAGACAGGCGGCTTCTCACAGTGACTGCTGCTTTCAAGTTCCAAGCA